AAAGCACTCATCGTTTATAAATAAAAACAAATAAATAGAAATAGTGCTTTACAATTGAATTTGTGGCTTAACATGAATGCTAGCACGCTTTATAAAAAAAAAATAATCCCTATGAAAACACAATGATAGTATAGAAATTTAGATATAAGAATACAAAAATAACTATAGAAATATGAGATGCAAAAAATAATAGTCTTAAAAATATTCTTGAACTGTACAAAATTATTCTAAAAAATAAAACACATACACCATGGAACAGCAAAGGATGTAAACATAGGAGCTTGATTGACACCTTCTCTCTCTCTTCCTTCTCCTTGCCTCTTTCCTAAAATCTCTCCATCATATTTTCTTCTCTCTCAACCTCTGTATAACCTTTCTTCCTCTCAACCTCTATATACAAACTCCATGTCTCTTTTAAAAGATATTATTTCACATATTATCTTTTTTTTTTTTACTTACCCAAAAAAAAGAAGAAATTCATATGAAAGACAACTTGAAAGGCCTAAACTAAAGAGATTAAGTTCTCTTGTCTATCTCCATCCCAAAAACAAGATTTTGTTTGTTTGCAAATATAGCAAGATAACTTACATGCATTACCCAAACTCCCCTTAATTGAAAAACACCTACCTAAGTTCTCTTGTATATGTCCCTTTTATTTTGCAACCTTCTACCCAGTATAGATATTTTAATGGCACTCAATTTTACCATTGTCTTTCTAAAAGAGAGCAATTCCGGTAGCGAGATAAATCTGTAGATCTTGCATTTTCTAAAAAATCCTATATGCACTTTAATTTTTATACGAGCGAGGAAAAAGTATTTTCTCGATATAATATCCCCCATACATGTTGATTCTTCTTTAAGGGTTCATTGTTTGAAGCCCTTTCGTCAATTCAACGAAGTGTTGGTATAAGGTGCCCATCTTTACTACATAAGTAAGCCACGCCTATAATTTTTGTTGAAAGATAGAGTTCTAATGTCAGAAACCTCCATATGTGTTTAAAAAAAACTATGTTCAATCCTAATTATGAAATTTAAAATCTAAAAAATGATACAAATCAAGCGAATATATAAACACTTAAAATTCTAGAAAATAGGCGGTCCAGATAACTTGTTATAACATCCACTATTTTAGTGTTTGAAATTCTTTTTTTTCTTTATATCCATGCATCTTGATGTCGAGATAATCAATTAAAAGTTTTTCCAACTTTGAAACACTCTTCTCTACAAAATTTTTAAGGTGCACCTTATTTTGTTGCAACCTTATGTAAACATTCTCCTTCAACCATTAGGATAAATATCTATTGGTCTATCACTCCATTATCAACACCTGGTGTGATACCTAAAACATATGAATGGAATTTATAAGTCTAAAAATCTTTAGGTCATTTTTCCGACATGTAGCACAAATTTTATAAAATTTAATAGTAAATAAAAAAAATGGTGATCATAAAATGCTGCCAATTGCACAAATTTTATAAAAATTTAATAGTAAATAAAAATAAAAACATTGGTAATCATAAAATGCTACCAATAGCAAAAAATTTATAAAAATTTAATAGTAGAGAAATGAAAAAATTGTTGATCATAAAATGCTACCAACCTTCATAGTTTGTTGACCATTTGGAGGTCAAAATAATTTTTGTTTTTGAACCAATAGCAATTAAAATCAAGATGATTTTGAAACTTTTAATATCAGAAGTCATCCCACGTTTGTTTTGGGTGCTGGACCATGAGTATAAACCGGTCTTGAGAGACCACTTAAGATCAGCTCAAATATTCATGAGTTCAACTTTTTGCCCCATGGTGCGGCACACGTGTCACTGAGAAAATCCAAAAATGCTTCAATCAACGGCCTAAAATGCTCATTTGACAGTTAAGAAGATTGATCCCAGCAGTCCTTTCTTGAATGTAGATTTATCACATGTGTGTTTCATGTTTTGGGTCCAGTTGCACACGTGCCATAAATTTTTCTAGTGTTACCGGATAAGCATCATAAGGGACTCATGTGAATATACTAAAAATGGATAATACATGAGAGTGCCCCAACCGTTATTATAATGACAAAAACACCCTTGTCCATTTCTTCAAACATGACCGTTGTACCCTCATCTTTTTTAATCCTTAGGATGTCAAAAAAATTTCCCCAAAGGTTTTGAAATTTGAAGCCCCTCAAAGCTCCTTGCAAGGGAATTGGCATGGAAATTCACCATGGAGTTAGAGAAACATAAGTTTTGGTTCAAATTTTGTATGTTTTTGTATGTTTATCCCAAAGCTTGTCATTTTTGTCTTGTGTTTTTTAGGTAAAATAATGTATGCCCTTGGGCGATGTTATTAAGATTGGACCAGTTGTAAATGTTTGGTGTTGTTAAAATCAGTCTGATTACTATTTGAATAAGTTGAAATAGATTCTAAAAAATAAAATTAAAATAAATATTATAAATTAAAATATTAAATATCATAAAAGAATATAGTGAAATATGAAATATAAAAACAGGTCCAACCGACTAAACTGATCAAATATTGATCCAAACCGATTTTTGACTAAATCTAATTTTTAATTTGGACCATTTCAGTCAACACGTTGGCTGAGGGTTCAACAGGGCAGACAGACTGGTTCGGTTTGATCCCATAATTATGCTCTTGCAATAGCATATTAAAATAAAAATAAAAATTATAGATTAAAATAGGAAAATTGTTTCATGTGTATTGGACCGCATTTCTACATATTCAGTCCAAAAGTATAAAGCATCCATCTTAAAGATGGATGCAAATATGTGGTCCATCTAAAAACAATTGAAACTAACAGTCCAAATGTTTTCTTAAAAGAATTGCTGCTTCTAGTTTTTAGTTTTTTTAATTTTTTTCATATTCATGATCTCCATGTTAGAGATTACCTATCCTTGAAAATTAAGTCAAACAATCCATCTCAAAAATAGATTAATGAAGGGGCCCGCATTTCTACATGTGTGAGCTTGGCCCGCATGCTAACCACATCCTTAAAAAGAATTTGCCCCAATTTTATTTAGTTTGTCGAATCTGTCCGACCAGCTAAAACTGGTCAAACCATAATTCAAACCGATTTTCGACTAAATCTAGTTTTTCCTTTGGATCAGATTTGCCAAAGTACTGGTTGAGGGTTTGACCGGTCAGATAGATCAATCCGCTTCGGTCTTCATAATTATGCTATTGCAATAGCATATTATCCATTCATTCCCTCGCATAAAAGCCTATCTAGGAATATTTTAGGATCCAAAATTTAGGGATGTAACCCAATTGTCTCAAAAAGGAAAAAAATGAAAAGATATGCATGTTTTATAGGTGCATGAAAATAATAATAATGGTTATCAAGACTGAACCAATCTGGTGGTCTGACCAGTCGAATTGCTAACCAGTTTGGTCACAATTAAAAATTGGATTTGGTTGAACACCAGTCAAAATCAATGTTTGACATATTTTGGCTGGTCAGACCAGCTGGTTTAACCAGTTCGACCAGCTAAATGAAGAGAAAACTTTTTTAATTCATTTTATTTTTTTAAAAACTAGTATATCTTTTTATTTTCATTTTTTCTAAAATTTAGTCCAATTAATTTGACCAATGTTTGGATCATTTTTTATCAAACTAAACCCCTCACTGCTTAGGTGGCTGGTCTTATCTTGTTAACACTAATAATATTACCTCAAAATTGAACGAAAGTTGTCTAGTTTATGAATAGTCACATCTAAGTGTCTAAGAACCCAGAATCCAAATCACTTTTCCTGAAACTATTTTAAAGGATAATCAAATCTCCGGGATGACTCTTTTGCCTTGAGGGAGTTACTTTCAGTGCTATCATAATTGGAATTGTTCTTGAATTTGTGAGGGGTCTGGGCTTAACCAAAACTGGCCCAACCTCTGGTTGAATCGATTGAACTAGATTTTAGAAAAACAGAAAGAAAAACAAACATAATAATTTAAAAATATAAAATATATTAATAAGATTAGTGCAATTTCATTTTGATGGTCAAAGTGATTAAAATTAATTGATTTAGCTAGCCAAAATCGGTCAAAAACATTGGTTTTAACCTATTTTCGATTAAGCATAAGTGGATTTTGAGTTATTCAACACCTATATCTTGCTCTGTGAAAACTGGATTGTCCTTGTTCACTCTCGAAATATTATTTTTTTTCCAGTACACATAAGATGTGATTTGAAAATTTCCTTTTTTGAGGTTGACTCAAGTTCAATAGATTATATCCAATGTGGGGTCCTAAAAAAATAGAGAAAAGTTTATATAAGGTTGCAATCTTAAAATGTAGAATTAAAGATGCACATCAAAAATTTATCGAAAAATGTTGTTTTAATGTTAAAAACCCTCTAATTGATCATCTCAACATCGAGATGTATGAATATGTATATAAAAATATATATTTTCAGTCCCAGAAAGAGTGCATATTGCAACATATTATCTAGACCGTCCATTTTCAATATTTTCATATGTTTATAGATATACTTGATTTTAACGATTTTTTAGTATGAAAATAAATTTTTAGATAATCCTAATAATTTTTTATATTAAAATTACATGTTATGATAACATTTGGAGGTGTGCCCTAATCGGATCGTTTAAGGTTGCAACCATATAGAAACCACACCATAAAAAAAAAAATCCTACTTTTTTGGATAGAGCACATGTTCTGAGGTCATAATTTATATGAAAAAGTGAGAGATATTAGCAATGAAAAACTTAAATCTTTGTAAATATTCTATCATATGGGGTCTATTTTACATCGTATAAATTTGTATCTATATCAAGACAACAGATGGGGTACCCACCCTAATTTCGTAATATAAAATTTCATGAATACCATAACGATCTTAATGGATGAAAACAAATGTTTTGGATGAATGAAAACGAAGGTTTTGGATGAAGCCTCTTTTTGTTTTCACCACAGTGCCAAATGACCCTTTATAGGATGACCCAGC